CGCAGTGACCTGGCTGCATCAATGCCCCTCCGCCCCCACCGCCCCTCTCCATTATTGCGGGCTGCAGCCCATTGTGCGATGCGTAGTTGGTTTGGCTTACTCGGGATTAAAATCCTGCCTCGGAGCCAAACTCAGCTGAGGCCCGCCGGCCGCTGCAGAGGGTGGCGAGGGCAGAGGAATGTTGGGAGGGTTGAAGACACTGGACGCATTGTGCACAACGCAATCGAAAAATGAGTGAGTGATAGCTCGAGCACACAAACAGACAAGTTGTACTGTGATTACAGAAAACAATGTGAACGTTACTGCAGGAAGTGACAATCGCTCAAAAAAGTGAATACCAAGATATATTTGTAAGAAAAACATCGGTAGGAATTTGGCGTTTTAAGCTAATTTTGTTCTGTCTGGGTCGTGGAAGATCCTGTGGCCTCTGGTAATACGTGCCAAGTAGATACGTAGGACTTCCCCTCTAATTGCAGTATTATTGCTCTTATACACAGGAATGAAAGTAGGCGAAACCTAAATTGTGCGAAGTAGTACCCCACATTATTCGTGGTGGGCGGGAATGCGAATAAAAGTTCTCTGCGGGTACAAGGTAAAAACAATCTCTACTTGTTTGAGGAAAAAGGGAAAAACTTTGAGGACCTTCCATATTTGAGGAAAACTTCTCGGATCTCGCCTCAGATTTTGAGAAACCTCCTCAAAGATTGTGGAAAAATCACACATTTTTTGAGGAGACCTCCTCGAAATCTGACAAACTTTCCTCAAATCAAGGAATTTCCTCAAAGTTTTCCCTTTCCCCACAAAAAATGAGACATTGTTTTTACCGTTGTACGATGTATTTACCTCGATTTAACTTTACACGACGCAGGTTTGTGAGGTGGTCCAGGCTGACTTGCGTTCATCTCACCTCAACCCCCGTCCGCGGGCGAAGTGGATCGGTGGCCGCATGCCCATAGCCCCAGGCACACCGAGGTAATCGTATTTTTACGACGCCTGCCCCACCCCGCCCCGCCCCGCCCCGGCTTACGGGCGGGCAGTGTGGCGGGGATCATGTGCACTTGACTGACTCGGAGGGTGGCCTCTCTCTTCCCCCGCGGGGTGCTCCCCTCCCCGCCCCGCTGTGCCGCGCCGCGCCGCCCCTCTCTGGGACTGAAGGCTAATATGAGGCTATAAACTGGCGCATCCGCGCGTGATTTAATCCGTTGTATGTATTATTAAAATTAGCCACTTGCAAGGGCGCGGGAGAGGCCGGCGGCGGCAGGCTCACAGCCATCATAGGGAAGGATTCTCCTTACTTTGGATATAGAAAACGATCATTGCTTGTTTTCGAAACGTACTTTCCGTCCCTTCTGCTGCTCTTCCTCTACCTGGTTTTCCTCGCTCGCTCTCACTGGCATACTACGCCCATACCGCTCACACCGCTGCCCCTCGCCCCCTACCTCTCTCTCTCTCGCTCTCTCCGTACCTCTCGCTCCCCCTCCCCTGCCCTTCTCCTCTCACAAGCAGACGCGGGCCACAGCTGTTGACGATTTATGGTTTCGAACGCCCGCCTCGCCTATGGCCAAACCGACTCGCCCGCCCGTATACGATTTGCCCGCGCCACCCCCTTCCTCCTCCCCCTTCCTCCTTCCCCCCTCCTCCATTTCGTGCCCCACAGGTCGGCGGACGGCCCTCCTCCTATTTTTTGTTACCGACGAGTGAAGTGACACAATCCTTTTTATGCAGAATCCGTGTCGCCGGTCGACTCCGGATCAGCTGACCGCCGCGGCCTCGGCCGGGGCTGGTGAGGAGGGGAGGGAGGGGGATGATGGATCACATCCAGCCGAGGCCGCGGCGGCTGTTGTGTAAGGCTGCAAATGAAGGGCGCTCCACACGGCTAATTCAAGAGGCTTGAGGCGCGTGGCTCTGGTCGGGGCTGTTAGGGGAAAGGTTGGGGGGGGGGGGGGGGCTGTCGTGCGGTTTGATCTATGACCCAAAGCGCGCGAAATTTACATCCGAGGTGACACGCCGGGTCTCCGCCGGAGCTGGCTGCTCGGCTACTGTGGGATAGCTGAAAGTGTCGATGGCTCTGCGCCGTTGTACTCACTTCTCAATGCCGGTCAGACGGGGGTGGCGGTGCTTCTTGGACAGCATGATGCCGCCTCCCCAGGCAGCCTGCGGACATAAGGCGTCAACGACAGCTTTATTTTCACATTTCGGCACGCTTTCGCTTTGACAGCTCAGATGTGTGATTTCCCTGCACGAACCACTTCGATACACTCGTAAAACAAGTGTTTAATGTTGCACGTCAATTGATGTTAAGGTTCAAGTGTGCATCTTCTCGACTCATTGTAGTGTCTAACAAGGTTAAACGTCAACTGGCGCTGAAACTTTCGACACTTCCGAAAAGAATAGCAGCTGCACAGAACAGTGTGTGTCCAAGTGTGCAGAATTTAAACGTTTAGAAAACATCTAGAATTTGCACACCACGCAAGTGTGCAACTTGAGTTAAACACCATGTAATGTGCAACATCATAACTTACACACGTTGGTGTGCAAATTATGCACACTTGTTTTACCAGTGTAATACATATTTTCCCCTAACACTTCGTTTGTCCAGGTTAGGAGCTTGTATTTTTGTTACGCAAAATGCGTTATTCGTTTACACAATACAGCAGTTCCACTCACGTCGACGTGCATCCACAGCTTGTGCTTCTGGCAGATGGCCGCGATGTCCTCGATGGGGTCGAAGGCGCCCAGGACGGTGGTGCCGGCGGTGCAGTTGACAAAGAAGGGCACGTCGCCGCGCGACTTGCGCTCCAGGATGAGCCTCTCCAGCTCGGACGGGATCATGCGACCACTGGAGACACATTTTTTATATTTCGTTGTTGTTGTTGATTTATAAAAAGGTAGTCTTTGCCGTATTTTGTCGTACTTACGCAGCGTCGCTTGGCACCTCCACGCAGTTATCGGTTCCAAGGCCGCAGACGGAGGCGCAGCTCTTGATGGAGTAGTGGCACTGATGGGAGTCAGAACAAGAGTACGCTCGTGAGCTCCCTTTGGAGAAAGAGAGGGGTGGGAGGGAGAACATGGAGAGAGAGAAGGGTGGGAGATGAAAAGCAGCAGTGGAAAAGAAAAGAGCGCGTCACACGACTGACCTGGTCTGAAGTGTACATGACGAGCTGGCCTTTGATGGAGGACAGGCCCTTCTCCTTGTACTGGGGGAACATCCTGTGGCGGGCGGCCAGGAAGGCGTACAGGTTGGAGATGGAGCCGCCGGGCGCGAGGATCGAGTCGCCCGCGCCGTTCTCCCAGCCGATGATCTCGCGCATGTGCCGCATGACCACGTTCTCCATAAGGATGAAGACGGGCGCGATCTCGTAGGTGAACATGTTGGTGTTGGCCGTGGCGGTGAGCCACTCGCCCGCCATGGAGACGAGGTCCAGCCCGCATGACAGCTGGTTGAAGAAGCGCGGGTGACCTGCGCACGACGCGATGCAACAACACACAAAGGTTAGCGGCGGCAGCAGCAGGGCGGACAGCGCCACCGCGATCACGGGGCGAAATGCAGCAGAAAATGGAGCAGGGATCTCTTCCGGGCCGTGCGCCGCAAAGCTATATCCGCCCTCTCGGGTGCCCATCCCCGTCCGTCCGCACCCCTCTCCG